AGCATGTGTGTGTAAGGATGCGAGTTAGCATGTGTGTGTAAGGATGCGAGTTAGCATGTGTGTGTAAGGATGCGAGTTAGCATGTGTGTGTAAGGATGTGGATGTGGGTTAGCATGTGTGTGTAAGGATGTGGGTTAGCATGTATGTGTGTAAGGATGTGGGTTAGCATGTATGTGTGTAAGGATGTGGGTTAGCATGTATGTGTGTAAGGATGTGGGTTAGCATGTATGTGTGTAAGGATGTGGGTTAGCATGTGTGTGTGAGCATGTGGGTTAGCATGTGTGTGTGAGCATGTGGGTTAGCATGTGTGTGTAAGCATGTGGGTTAGCATGTGTGTGTAAGCATGTGGGTTAGCATGTGTGTGTAAGCATGTGGGTTAGCATGTGTACACGTAAGCATGTGGGTTAGCATGTGTACACGTAAGCATGTGGGTTAGCATGTGTACACGTAAGCATGTGGGTTAGCATGTGTACACGTAAGCATGTGGGTTAGCATGTGTACACGTAAGCATGTGGGTTAGCATGTGTACACGTGAGCATGTGGGTTAGCATGTGTACACGTGAGCATGTGGGTTAGCATGTGTACACGTGAGCATGTGGGTTAGCATGTGTGCGTGAGCATGTGGGTTAGCATGTGTGCGTGAGCATGTGGGTTAGCATGTGTGTGTAAGCATGTGGGTTAGCATGTGTGTGTAAGCATGTGGGTTAGCATGTGTACACGTAAGCATGTGGGTTAGCATGTGTACACGTAAGCATGTGGGTTAGCATGTGTACACGTAAGCATGTGGGTTAGCATGTGTACACGTAAGCATGTGGGTTAGCATGTGTACACGTAAGCATGTGGGTTAGCATGTGTGTGTAAGCATGTGGGTTAGCATGTGTACACGTAAGCATGTGGGTTAGCATGTGTACACGTAAGCATGTGGGTTAGCATGTGTACACGTAAGCATGTGGGTTAGCATGTGTACACGTAAGCATGTGGGTTAGCATGTGTACACGTAAGCATGTGAGTTAGCATGTGTGTAATCATGTCATTTTCAAGACTGACATGTTTTCATGGTGTAGGTGTGTACAGGAAGGTATATAGAAGTAGTTAAGATTTAAATAATTGATATAAATTTGTAACTTGGTAATTCCTAATGCACCATATCTAGCAATGACATGTTGGTAATCACTGGTATACTGGTAAACATGAATATTACCCTATACATGTGTGTATAAAATGAAGATGACAACCTTCCACATGCACACACACAGACACATGCAAAAATGCACATACGTGAACACCACAGTGTTAAAGTGTAAGGCAAACAAACATAATGTTCCCAGATACAGGAGAAGGTAATTTACAGTTTTTTTATGTACCTTTATATTTCCTAAATGTTCATCTTTTCATTAGTATACAATGTACATAGTCCACCATCTTAATTATCTAGCAAAGGATTATGGGTAAAATATGACATCGTAGCCACTGTTGTGAAAATTTTAGTTTAGAACATGATAGCATACATGAATGTACATGTACCAGTGGATATAAATATAAAATGGAATGATTCATTTTCACATTTTTCTTCCAAATGTTCAATTCTTCATATATTTTTATACAATTTATTGATGAGAGTAGCTTATACAGGTTATATAAGCTGTTGACTACAAAAAGTGTCATTCTATTTTTTTTATTTTACCTTCTTGGCAATATATTTTCAGGATTCCGATGTGCACTATTACCGTACTCGACCGCATTAGCGCCCATGCCCGGGCAAGCGCCCACCCCCCCACTTTTGCAGAATTTTTATATTCGGGGTCACATTCGGCAAAGCGCCCACCCCTTCAAAATGCAACTAATTTAAAACTTGGTCTTGCGTAACGAATCTTGGTAATCGTTTTTATATGATACAGCGTGGATATCGACCGTTGTGAACATGGTGTGAATGCGTAGAACGCGGTAACCGTGCGTAAACTACGCGTCGACAATGACCTGTTAATACAAGTAAAATGCGGTAAATATTTCATGCCATATTCAGTTTACCTCTCAAAAATGGCGAGTTACTAGTTTTTTTGGAAAAACTATGTCGTTTATTCACTGAAATCAATTCCAACAGATCGTACTTCGACATCGATAATTCACTTCCGCATTGCGTTACCGGAAAGTCTTCGGGAATTTCCAAAGAATTGCGTCAGTACAACACAGCATTGTGATTGGTTAATACAATGTAACCAACTTGACCCATTAGGTCAAAGGACGCCACTGCAGGTGAAAT